GTAGTAGTAGTAGTAGTAGTTGTAGTAGTAGTAGTAGTAGTAGTAGTAGTAGTAGTAGTAGTAGTAGTCGTAGTAGTAGTAGTAGTAGTAGTAGTAACAGTTGTAGTGCTGTAGGAGTAGTGCTCTACTGTTGCAACGGTGGCACTGTGGAAGTAGTACTCTAGTATTGTATTCGTTGGAGTAGTACACGATTGCTCGCTGCATTGCAATACTTGGTTGGCAATGCTCCAAGACTGTAGCACCCTAGCACTGTAGTGGTGCTCTAATTCCGCAGTGCAGTCGCAAGTTTACGTGCTCCGATGGCCTACTCAGCCGCAGCGGAAACCCTCTGAGCCCTCCCGAGAGCCCCCTGGCCTCTCCCGGGGCCCCGCTGGCGCGTCCTGGGGCCCTCTGTCGGCGGACCCCCCTGGAGCCTCCTGCCCCCACGGGCATAGGGCGCCTACTGGGGCCCCTCCGGGATTCCTTCGGTGGTCCTCCTCCTTCTGTGACGCTGCATCGCAATTCGCGTCAACGGGATGGGAGCATCGAACAGCATGTCGTACCGACTTGGGCGATGCGTGCGGCCCTCCTCCTCCGCCTCCTCCTCCTTCTCCTCCTGTCCCTCCTTCGAGTCTGCTTAGCAAGATGTTTCCCCGCATCCGATGCGCTATGCGCATCGTTTCCCGCGCGCTCCGCGACTCGCTTGTCCAGGTCTCGCACGTTTCGAAGTGGTTCGCCTCTGCTGAGAAAGTCTTAGAAGGCGGGAACGCCAACAAGTGTCCCAAACCAGAAGAACAAGCTTGATCTTTGCCAGCCCTGCGCCCCCCCCCCTCCACCCCCTGTCGGGTGGAAAATGACTGAGGGGCGACAAACGTGGGGGTGAAAGAGGCCCCCCCAAAGGCACGTCGACTGCCACCCTGGCTCCCAAAGGTGCTGGACAGATGCGCCCTTCTTCACCCTGCGTGCTCTTCCACCCCAGACATCCCGCGATGTGCTGCCTCCGACCCTCGGCCCCACAGGCTCGGAGCCGTTCCCTGGGGGGCAGTCCAAGGAGGAGGAGGAGGAGGAGAAGGAAGGGGAGGAGGAGGAGGAGGAAGGTCCACTCTTGATGGCCCCCGGACCCGAAGACGGCCCCCGGAGGCCCACATGGGGGGAAGGCCGCCTGCACCGAATAGAGCACACCGCCGGCTGTCTGGGTGCCTTCCCGCCGACCTGCCGAGCGCACGCCGGGCATGGCCCACGGCTCCGCGGAGCTGGCGCGCAGGCGCCGGACCCACGGATCGGCGAGAGAAGCACCCCCGAAACACGCGGCCCTCGCCGCCCGCCTGGGCGGCGGGGCGCGCGGAGCCGGCACGGGAGCGGGAGCCGTGGCTGATCCAGGAGGAGGAGGAGGAGGAGGAGGAGGAGGAGGAGAGGAGGAGGAGGAGGAGGAGGAGGAGGAGGCAAAGGAGGAGGAGGAGGAGCGGGAGCCGTGGCTGATCCACGCCCCCTGCAGGTGCACGCTCACACGTCCTCGAGCCTGGACCCCCCTGGGCGCGACGGGGCCCCCCGCGCCCCGCCTGGGAGAGGGGGGCTCCCGCGAGCAAAGAATCCCGCCCGAGCCCCGCCCTCCGGCGGAGCCTGCACGCACGCCAGCGGCAGCGCCCCCCCCCCCCCCCCCCGAGCAAACGCCCACCAGGCCACGCCATGGAGGACAACGAACGAGAGGAGAGGAAGGAGGAGGAGGAGGAGGAGGAGGGAGGAGGAGGGAGGAGGAGGATGAGGGATGAGGATGAGGAATGAGGATGAGGAGGAGGAGGAGGAGGAGGAGGAGGCAAAGGAGGAGGAGGAGGGCGCCCGCCGCCCGCCCCCAGGCCCGCGGGCTCCTCGGGCCCCGCGCCGCCCTGGAAGCCGCTCGGCACGCAGAGGGCTGGCGGAGCGTCCGGGCGCGCGCCGTAGCGCACCTGGCGCGGTCGCCGCCGCCGCCGCCGCGGCCGCGGCCGCGGGCCCGTCTTCTGCCCATAATCCTGCCCATGCTCCTGCCCCTGCTCTTCCTCTTCTCCCTCCTCCTCCTCCTCCTCCTCCTTCTCCTCCTCCTCGTTCTCCTCTGACATCCAACCGCCCACTTCCTTCCTCCTTCGTCGTCGTCATCGTCGTCGTCGTCGCCGTCGTCCTTCTTCTCCTCCTTCTTCTCCTCCTCCTCCTCCTCCTCCTCCATCATCCGTCCTCCTGCTCCTCCGCCTTTCCCTCCTGCTTCTCCCCGATCATTTCCCTGTGCTCGTCGCCGCCCTCCTCGTCCTGCCTTCCTCCTCATCCTCATCCACTCTTCGTCATGGCCATCGTCGTGCTCCTGGCAACGGCTGGCAGATGGACGGACGGTCTTGCAGCCAGCCGACGGGAGTCACAAAGAGGGAGACGACGACAATGCAAGAGGACCCAATTACCTCGCGGCCCACGGAATTCTAATTCTAATTCTATCTACGGCGGGGGTCCTGCTCTAGGCAGGCCGCTCATTCATATTCATGCCCGATCAGGGCATTCAAGCAGGCAGGCCGCTTCACGACAGCACCACCCACATGTGGAAGCCTAAGGCGAGGAGACAATGATGACGGCCCACGGAGATGACGGCGAGGACGAAGGCGACGACGAAGCCAAGGCAGATCCCCCCCGGTGCAGGGCGAAGGGCGGGCCCGGGAAGGCCCGGGCCGCGCACGGGGCAGCCCCCGCAGCCCGCCCCCGCCGGCCCTGGCGCGACCCCAGGACGAGGCGGGGCGGCCTCGGCGGCCCGTCCCCCCGGGCGCGCGGGGCGCTCGGGGGGGGGGGCGCCGCTGCAGGCGGCGGCTGCATGCCGAGACCGTGCGGGTGCAAGGCGAGTGTGCCTCGGGCGGCCAGGCTGAGGCAACTGCCGCGGCGTCAGCGAAGAAGCATCGACGAAGCATGGCCGCGACGAAGCACGGCCGCGATGAAGCATCGCCTCGAGTGGTGCATGGCCGCGGTGGAGCATCGAATCATGACTGCGCTGCTTGGCTGTGACCCTGTGGGTCGTCTGTGCGCAGCCCTGCCTCCTCCTCTCCTCCCGCCCCTCCTCGGGGAGCGAGGCTGCGGAGGAGCAGGAGGCACGAAGCAGACATGTGGATCTCAAGTGCAAACCCGGCCGCAAGAGAGCAATCAATCCAGTGGGAGCGACATCCCCGACTTTGAAGGCAACCCCCGAGAGAGCCTGCTGAAGACCTCACGCCCCTTCGCAGTGGGGCCTTCGCGGGGACACTCGTCCTTCAGTTTTCGAACGCTTGTGACGCAGCAGCTGCCACAAACAAATTGCAAACAGACACCATGCAACACCCTGAGCTGGTGGGATCGGTAACGACCAGGGGCCACGGGCTGGGCCGACACACCCCACACTGAGGCGAACCAGCCTCGCCCCCATCACTGAGCCTGGTACCTCCAGCTCCATCGGGCTCACGGAGGTGCCCAGACATGCGACGTCCTGATATTGTAAATACGGCGTCCCCCGAAGTCCCGACCCTTTCCCTGGGGCCGGTTGTTCACACTGCCTCGCTTTTTCACGGTCCCGCGGCCCGGCGAGGGCATGCATTGGCCGAAAACGGCGAACAGCTTCCGTCCTGATTTTGCAGCGACGCGAGCATGTCTGGGCGCGCAACCCGAGACATCCGACGCCTCGATTTTTTCGAGACACGGGCCCCCGGCCTCCCGACCACTCCCCTGGGGCCGGTTCTTCGCCCCGAGCCGTTTTCTGACGGCCCCGAGGCCCGGCGAGGGCCCCGCGAGGCCGAAAACGAGGAAAAGCCTCCGCCTCGATTTTTTCGAGACGCCCGATGCCTGGGACTCGCGAGGCCGTGCACGGCCGCCGCTGGCGGGCCGGCGGGGGCGGCCGGGCGGCGGCCGCGCGCCGCGGGCACGCCGCGGCCGTCCCCGGCCACGAAGAGGCGCGCGGCGCCGGAGGCCCCTCGCGCGGCGGGCCGCCGCCGTCGCGGCCCCTCGCGCGGGTCGCCGCCGCCGCCGTGTTCGCGGTCGTGGTCGTCGCCGTCGCCGCCACCGTAGCCGCCGTCGTGGTCGTCGTCGTGGTAGTAGTGATCGTCGTGGTCGTCGTGGTCGTCGTGGTCGTCGTCGTGGTCGTCGTGGTCGTCGTGGTCGTCGTCGTGGTCGTCGTCGTCGTCGTGGTCGTCGTCGTGGTCGTCGTCGTCGTCCTCGGTCGCCGCCGCTGTGGTGCTGGGCGTGGTCCGCGGTCGCGGCTCTCCAATGACGGCCCAAGAGCCACCACAACGGCCTCTGAAGGCGTCAGGACGGGCCAATCGTCTACCTCTGACGACCTAGGAGGCCCCAAGAGGCCCAAGAGGCCCCCAAGAAGCCCCCAAAAACCCCCCCAGCAGGCTCCCGTGAGGCCCAAAGAGGACCCCAAGAAGTTTTTTGTTCCTCGCCCTCATTTTTTGTTTTTTTTTGTTTTTCTCTCTCTCTCTCTCTCTCCTCCTCCTCCTCCTTTTCCTCCTCCTCCTCCTCCTCCTTGTCCTCCTCCTCCTCCGCCTCCTCCTCATTCCCACCGCGCTGACGAAGACGATGCCGGGTTCACGATCCTCCCCATTTCAGACCACTCGCTGAACCGCCGCGGGGTGTGAACTCGACCTCTTTTCTACCGCGCGGACGATGACCAGGTCGAGTTCACGACACGTTCTGATCATACAACTTGTCGAAGTTTCGCTGTTCATTTACTCGGAATCCTTCCTGGAGCGCTGCTGCACAGGCTCGATGGCGGGGTTTCCCGCAGGCAGCTGGCTGTTGGTCCCGCGAAAGGTTTCTCGTTCCCACAGGTGGGTGGATCCGCCTCGACACGTTGGTCGAAACGCATCATGCGGCCCGGGTTTAGTTTATAACCCCAGCATCTGGGCTTGCTCGCGTCGGGGGAAAAAAATTGCAGCATGTTGGACAAGGTTCGCCCCCCCGAGACCCCATTCGGGCCACGGGACCGTCGACAAAACACCGCTCATGTATCCCACCAGCCCCTTGGGCCAAGGTGGTGTAGCGATATCTTTCTGACCTCTTCCATTCGGGGAGGTTTACCTCCCCCCTCCAAAAAAGAAAACATGAAAGTTTCGCAACGCGTTAGAGCGTCCAATATGGCTTCGGCGAAAAGGCCACCACCATGTATTTTACGAAGGTTGTGGGCCCATGTTGACCCCCCAGAAGGGGGGGGCAAACGTTAGCCCCCCCCCCTCTTTGGATCGATGGCCTCCAATCCAAGATGGCCCCAAGAGGCCCCCCAGGGCTCCCAAGTGTCAAATATGTTGGAGATTGACAAGTCTTTGTTCTCCTTCCGCACGTAAGCTCCGCGGAATCGAGCAATATGAAAGCGGTCGTCTGCACGACCAATCAAATACAGCAAATAGAAGTCAGGGAAGCCCCAGTCAGTGACTGGAGCACATCTGATATTTGTTATCGCTGATAGCTCAAAAGGGGGAACCTCCTGATACTATTGGGAAACATGGCCACAGCATCTATCATACTGCCCCTTCTCTCCAACTGCTTATCTACTGCGTTTCTAGCTGCACATATACCGGCAAAACACACGCGTCTTCACACATAGTAAAACATTTTTTCCATTTTGGAAGCTGGAGATCAGCACCTTGCAAAAAAAAGCGCGGCCGTCTCCGTCAGAGTCCAAATCAGAAAGGGCCAAACGCATCCGTTCACAGAAAGTCGACTTAGAAACGACACTCACTAGGTGTCGCCTCGCAGTAAGAGAGGACCCTCGTGGCCAAAGCTGCCTTGAGTCCTGAAACTGGTAAACGCATCTCGCGAAGCACAGCCTGCAAATCACATGCTCGCATGCCCTCGAGTCTACGACGTGCATCCGATCGGTCGTCCTCTATCATCGGTCGGGGTCTGTCGATCGTCTGCATTGCAATGTGTAGTGTAAACGGCGATTTAACAATCGCAGTCGGCGAAGCACTATCCGCTTTCGCCTCTAACGCTGATGTAGGATCAGCTGTCCAATGCACAAACTGCCACATACAGAGACACAAAACCATCACCAAACTAATTCCGATCAGAGAACCTGTCATAAACGCCCCGGCTGGTAAAATCACAAACCTCGACCAATCGTCGAATGGCTGAGCCATCAACGTTGGAATCTGGCAAACTGCATGTTCCGACGCGGTTGCCACCGCAGTTGCTGCTACAAGAGCTGACACGGAAGTTCCAGACGAAAAACTGCTCGCTAGAACTCCTGCAAAAAAACATGGCACGCGATGAGCGTGTCACAGATGTGCCAACTGCCTTACTCACTTCAGAATGGTCTGCAAACGCATGTACATAAATCCTTGCAGTTTCGTCGTCAGCGCTATAGCCCTTCGGTCTGGCGTAGCGCGCATTCGTTTCGTCGGCACCCTCTTGTAGTTCCACTCGCTGTGCTCGCTGCGTTTCCTCAGAAAGATCTGTCAGCTTCCGTTTCCTGAGCGAAGGTGCTCAAGGGTCCGGTCCAAACGCCCAGAGATTCGCGTAGGAGACTCGGTCTTGATATGGTGCGTCCATCTTCTTGGTAAGTCCGTCGGCCAATTGCTGCTCGGATCGGGCCCATTTGATGCCTCCATGCTGGCGCCCCTGCCGGATGATGGCTGCTTCCAGAGAAAGTCTACGATCTGATAAGTGAACGTGCTCCTTCACAGCACAATCCCACAAAGAACGGCAATCTGTAACCAGAACTCCTTTCCACCCCCCAGCTGCTCGGCGATGCCCATGTCCAAGCCTACTAGCTGCAACGATATCTGCAAGCGCTGCGCGTGTCCAATCAACAAGGACCTCGAGCTTCAGAACAGCTGTGAGCCTCTGCTGGAAGAGTACCCCGCACTGCACGTCTAGTAAGTCCGCTCGACCGTGCCAAGAGCATACATGGATACAACTTCGCGTGGTCGTCCATGATGCTGCCATCTCTCACCATGATGTAGAAACCCACGTTGGCTCTTATGGTTTGGCATGTCGTCGAAGGATGCGTCGTGTGAAGCTATGATAACAGACTTTTCAACATCAGATCCTCCACGGCAGACCATCCGAGTCTTCCCCTCGCGGCGGATAGACCTCACCGCACTATTCATACCCTTCATGTCCTGAACCGTCGGCCTCGACATCTGGCCAGCAAGCCGCGATGCCTCATAACTGCATTTCTATGAAGCAGTAGTCGTACCACCCACTGAACTTGTCCATTCATGCCGCGAAGCGCTCGATGTTCAGCAGCAGTAAATAGCTCCTTCTGCTGCTTGGCCATCTGACGGGGCGCCCGGTAGTCCGTCATCGCACCGATGTGGTTGTCCATGTCCATGGTGATAGAATAGTCCTTGTTCGGTTGGAGGCGTCGCCCAGTAAACGTAGCTCCTTCTGGCGCCTTCTGTAAATCATGCCATTCTCCAAACTCCACCTGGCTCCTCAACTGCTACATCACGTGATCACAGAAGTCCCCAGTGTTTTCCACGTCGAAGGCCATGGGCATGTCGTCGACGCGTTGGCATTATAGTCCAACCAACTTCTCTTGATTCATCAAATTGAGGGCGGCAGTCTCGGACTGCAGCTGCTCGAAGCCGACGTCTCGCAGAATCTGGGCAATTCTCGTGTGCCAGGCCCTGGCCGCGTCGCTGGCGCCATAGATGCTCTCGTTGAGCTTGGGCGGGATTCCCTCTTCGATTCCAGATGTGCTCATGCCCTGCAAGTTCCGGGGCGCCTTGAAATGCAGCTCCCTCTCAATCTTGACTCCCTGCAGACATGCTCCAGTTGCGTCGCCAGTATAACGTGAAAAACGCTTGCACGTGGCAGTGCTGCATAACATCTTAAAGGGTGAGCATGTCGGTGAATCTCCTCGTAACTTCTCATCGTATCTCCCCTGGAAACCAGTTCCCACAAAACGACATCTGGGTTGGAAGTAAGCGTCGTGTTCACGGCCCTTGTTCGTCCATACAGCTCGGCTCTCGGTCTGCAGTGACTTATCGATATTATTGGCCATTGTCGGCGAAATTACTGTCACAGGGTCGTACTTGGTCCAAGTACGCCATTCTTTCCTAAATCCGTTGAGACACTTCTCGGCACGTTCTCGGGTATATCCGTCATCACGATGGAGCACTTCCACTATGTCCAGCTCGCCCTTCGATGCTCGGTCAGCTCGTTCAGCCACGAAAGCTTCGCACATGACCGCGTTGGTGGCATAGGCGGTACGCAATCTCTGGTTGTTCTCGGTGAGCGTGATGTTGCGACCAATGTGTGTTCGCCCTCCGTGCGCAGTCTGGGATGCTGGCGTTTTCCTTGTATGTCTCGATCGTCCAGCGCGTGCTGCCTCGCCTTGTTTACGATTCGCTTGTTGGCGAGTTCGTTTTCGTTTTCGTGCGTCTTGTTCTTCTGGTTGCTGAGTGCGCGAGGCTCAGGTCCATCGTCATTCGGTCCAGACGGCGCACTGGGTCTTGCCAATGGTGTTGGAGTTGGTGCCGGATTGTCTGGTCCAAACGATTGGGTGGTCTTTGAGGTTCAGTACCTTCGGGAGGCCGATCTTGTCGAACAAAATCTGGATTCTGTCCTTGTCCATTGGAAGGGTCACTGTTAGTCCGATACGTGTACTCCACCATAACATCCTCCATATCCATATCACGTACCAGAGGAACTTCAAAGGGTACTTCTATACCGTTACTAGCAATATCGTCACGTGGGGCCTTTGTGTCATAGTGGAAGATACGTCGCCGGAGAAGCCTGTCTCGAAGAATAACACCTTCTTCGGGTAAAGGAGTCATCATACATCGTGTAATCCTTGTTGCCAGAACTGCGTCATGTGGACCACGGGGCTTTGCTCCAATGACCATCTCCCATGTGCTAGGTATAGTCCATGATCCCTCTGGCCATTCAGCTTGTACACGACGTCATTGTGTTGGTGGTTGATCTGGTGCTCCCTCCATACTCGGCGGGTCCTCCTCGGGTTGG